GAGTCTCACTTAGTTGCCCATGCTAGGCTTGAACTTATGCTCTTCCTGCCTCAGCCTCCTAGAGTGCTGGGATTATGGGCCTGTGAAACCCAGCCCAATTTGAGGGCATGGTTTTAAAGGGAATATCCTGTCCCCCAGCCCTTTCCTCTTTAGTTCTCTTGTCCTATTTTTGTTTTCTAGCAGCCATGGGGTGGGCGGCTTTCCTCCGCTCTGTCCTTCTGCGATGCTGTTTCTACTTTGGAGCCAGCTGAACACGGACAAAAACTTCTGGAATCCAAATACATCTTCCTTCCTCTCAGTTGTTGTACTCAGGTGTTTGGTCATAGTGATGAAAACTGATGAATACAGGCTGTTAACCTGGCAGACATTTACTGAGCACCTGATGTTTTCCAGGCACTGTGCAAGGTGGGAGAGCACTCAGAAATGGGTGATTGTCATGCAGTGTAACGAGTGCTGAAATGGAGAGAGGCAAAACTTTCATGAAGGAGGGAGGCTTTGGTGTTCGTTCTACCCTGAATTTCTTACAAACATGACATCCTGTCCAGTGATTTGGATTCCATTCTCTAGTCAAGGAATGGAGCCACAAAAACTCTGATTTCCCTAACATTATTCCCACTGTCGTCTTCACGGATACTCCCGGAGCCCTTGCTAAATGAGTGCTTGGGCTTGATATTCATTTTCTCAGTGTTCATAGTGACGCCGAAGGTTTAGAGAGATTTCTTCATTCAACACTGAGTGCCCATTGTTTCTTACGCACTGGGCTACAAGGATGAAGACCTTGCCTTCAAAGAGCATTTTACTTAACTTAGAAGTGTTTTTTTACAAATGGGAAGGGGACCAAGAGATGGAGAGAGAGGGAAAGTAAGAAGAATTAAAATGTGTTACATGCGTGTACCAAGTGCCCAAGGTGAATGTAATCCCTGTGCACCACAAACATGTACTAACAAAAAAAATTAAAAATAAATCAAAGGAAAATAAGAAAAAAAATTACTTGTGCAAGACCCCGGAGCTAATGACAGCCGAGCTGGGGTTAGTATGAGAACAGGTACATCCCAGGATGTCCACCACACCTCCACCAACACACATACTTGCTAGCTGTGTCCATAGCCAGGAGGTCAAGGGAGAGGGACCCCAGAGCTCCCACACCACCGCAGCCCTGGGGACCTCAAGTTGGGTAAACGCAGAGGGGAGCAATGGCGGGCTCACCTGGATTGGAGCACTAGACAGAGAGGGAGCCCTTTCCCGGTGTGACAGCCCCGGTCATGTGCCCTCCCACCTCTCATCCTTTGCTTCTCCTTTCAGGGCTGCCGGCAAGATGCCAGGGACTTACTGCAGGCTTTCCTTATTTATTCTTGTTTCTCTGAGGTTCTGCGTATGTGTACTTTCCAGTTTCCAAAGTGCTGAAAGATATACTGTCCCCTCTTCCCCAGCACCTTGCTGTGGAGCTGCTCACAGGAGTAACACATTTTAAAGCTGTCAGTAGAGATGTAGCTTGCACTGCAATTCAGAGTTGACCTTGGAACCATCAGTCTTGACCTCTGGGATTGGTCTGGCCTGATGAAGGTTGTAGCAAACATGCTTTTCGCCTGGATTTTTACACTTTTGGAAGGAGGTTTAGGATTGTTTAAACACAGATTAAGTCTATCTAGTCAAGTGAGCATTTTAAGGTCTTTTGAAGTGTAACCATCACTTGTGGCACCTCCCAGTTAGAGGCGGGAGTGGTGGTGGTGGTGGCAGGGAGCAAAGAGGTGTTCTGTGCCCCTGGGACACTCTGATTTAACAACAGGGAAGTTGTTTAGTGTAGTGATCAAGAACAGGGGTCAGCAAGCTTTACCTGACCAAGGTCAGAAGGTAATTATTTTAGGCTTTGGGAGCCATATGGTCATTGTCACACTACCTAACTCTGACTCTGGAGAGTGAGAGCAGCCACAGATAACAGCAAAGTTGTATCCCATTAAAACTTTATTTATAAAATCAAGCAGTGGGGTCCAGGGATGTAGCTCAGGGGCATACCACGTGCCTGGTAAGCGTGAAGCCCTGAGTTTGATTCCTGGTACCATAAAAGAAAGAAAGAAAAAAAAATCAAGCATTGGTCAAATGTGTCTGCGGGCCATAAAAACTTTGCTGACCTCCTTTCAGAACAAAAGTCTTCAGCAGCAGGCTGCACACTTTACTTTCTAGGTTGTGACTCTGTCTCTAACCCTCCAAGTCTCAGATGTCTCATCTGGTCTAAGACTGGGGATGGTCTATGATTGAATAAGATGGGGCTTTCTCAGGACACAGCCTGGCAGAACTCAACACATGTTAACTATTACTACTAAGCCCAATTGGAGGCTCTCTGGCTTGGACACACAGTAGCATGACAGCTGTAGAAGCAGATAAAGGCAACCTTAAGCCAAAAGGCTTTGCAAACAAATTATCTTCCAAGTGAGAGACTTAGGCAAGGTTCCTTTGAAAAGGGGCATAGAGACCAGATAGTCTTTTGAGGCTTCTTCTGCCTGCCCCCCAGACCAATGGGGCTGGCTTTTTCTCTGCATCCTCTACACCTTGGTGAACCTCCATTAGGATCTTTGGAGATACCCAGGTAGCAGGTGGTCAATGTCCACTCCATAGGGATCCCCTCCAGAACAAGAATAGCATCCCTTCTCCTGGGGTCTCAGGAGGTGCAGCAGGCTGGGCCATATCAGGTCACAGGTAAGTGTTGCTGTTGAATTTTTTTCAGTGTTTAGCATTCAAAGCGACAACTCTGCTATTACAGCCATAAGCTTGCAGAGCCATCCAGTTTAGAGGGAGCTTTGGAAGGACTTCCCCAAAATGCTGCTTGTATTCTCCTTTTTTGCTGCTGTTCCTAAGTTGTATCTTTAATATTCTCAGTATTTGCTATCTTTCTTTCTGAGGGTCAAGGATTGATCCCTGTAATCCTTACAGGTCCAGGACATTGTTGAATAACCAAGTTACCTTCTGATTATTAGTGAATAATCTTATACTCACAGAACCAAAAAGCAGATTGAGACTCCAAAGGTGGGCAAACCAAGCTTGGTGATCTGATGATGGATGGAGGCCTTGCCACCATGCTGAGACCCAGACAAACAAAGTGAGAGTGAGCCAGACAGCAAGCTCTCCATCACCTGTGTGGCAGGCATCCTCCAGTGCCTTTTTGGCACAGTGTGAAAGGGCAGTGCCAAAAGGGCACACAGCTGACACCCGCCTCAGTTTTAACAGACACAGATCATTTTTTGGAAAGCCCAGGGTGGAGAAAGCCTGTGCCCCTGGTGTGGGCCAAATGTACTCCAGCTGTTGGCCTCTCCACTGTGGTGAGTTGTCTGGGCTGGGGTGGAAGGAGTGGGGAGGGAAACCTCTCTACAAAAAGTGTAGAAGAACTGGGACCACTACACCCCAGCTCTTTGTGCCACCTGGATATTGTTGTTCACTTCTGGCTATGGCACAGAATCAGAGATGTAGCAGAAAGGATTGGAAGAGGAAGAACAGAACACATACTGGCCCATGGGCAAGCATAGTGTTAGATACTGATCTCACTGAATTCCCAGAAGAAGCTTTCCTGCCAGAACATTTCTGTATCTGAACTCCTAGATGAAATGGCAATTATCACCTTTCAATCAATCTCCATAAGCCACCAGGTGGTTCTGTCACTGGCTCATGCTGTCTCCAGAAGCACCCCACTCTTGCTATGTTGGCTTTCCTTATATACAGAATTCTTTCTTCTCCCACAGGACCTTTGAACATGCTAATTCCTATATCTGGAACTCTCCTTGACTTCTTTCCTTCCAGAATCTACCTAGCTAACTTGGTATCCACATCCCAGTTAAATTTCCTTCCATCTGGCAGCATAGGTAAAGTATCTTGTAAGTTGCATCCTTCTCTTCAGCCTTCTTAGCTCAGTTTGCAATTACATGTATATTAGAGGTAAGTAAGCAGTTGCTGTAAGAGTATATTATCTCTATCCTTAACATAGTTCTTAACTCTAGAGCCAGACTACTGGGATTTAAATCCGATCACCAGCGCCTATCAGCTGTTTAGGTAAATCACTACCCTACTCTTAGCCTCCATTTTGGCATCCGTAAAATGGCAACGAGATTAATGTTGACTTCAATGAGTTGCTGAGAGATTAAGTGAATAATCACACATGAAACTTCAGCATAATTCCTGGCTCTTACTTGAAGCTCTGTAAACGCCAGCTACCTCTTATTACAGAAGACAATACATAAACACCCTCCCAAGTGCTCATGCTGCTGCTCTTCCTTTTGCTGTTTGCATTTCTGCTTGCATTTATGGAGTTGAAACTTTCACTTTAGTTGCTCCTAACTTCTTGGTCTTGCTGTCAGAATGAGTCATTTCTGCCTGCTGTTTCTCTCCAATCCTCGACTCTCTGTAGCCCCAAAGCTAACCTGGAGATCACTAGCCATGGCTCGGGTCTAGGCTGTGTCCACTGCTCCAGAAGAAAGGGAGAGAAGCAACAGAGATGAGCAGAACTGGACCCATCGAACTCTGACTGGGGAGAGCGCCACCCACAGGCTCGAAGTTAGGGGTGGTGAGCTGAGGGGCAGATCAACACTCCCAGCTGCTCCCCAAATCGGTTCTTGTAATATTTCCATATATTTTTCTTTCCCTCCTCTCACTAGTCTAAGCTATAACTGCTTACCTTTATCTAGATCCACAACTTCAGACTTTTGGTCCTGAAAAAGGATGGAAGAGAATTATGTTAATGGAACATTTATTATTATTTCTCTGAGATTACATTACATTTTTGAGATGATCATATTTGTATTTTATTTTAAATTAGTTTTTAATTATAGAATAAATATAACTATCCATCATTAAATGTTTAAACCCATTAGAAAGTTGCAAAATTTACTAAAAATCTCTCTCCAGTTTACCATCCATCCTTTTCTGGAAGGTATGTACACTATTTTGTGTGTCCTAGAAAAATATTTTTGCAAATATTAAATTTATGCAAACACATGCATTATACATTTTTTTTACAAAAATGATATATAATACATAAAGCCCAGTGCAAGGACATTACTTTGAATGAAGTTTTATTTGTCTCATTTTGAAAGATGAATAGAGACTGAAGGAGAAAGAAAAACATTTAAAGTGCCATTTGTCAACCTGTGCTGATTCTTCTAACATTATTGATCTATGACTCATTCTTCCCAGGGTAATCAAATGCTGTTATTTCACAAAAGGTCATCATTTTAGAAGTGAAGGAAAACGTTGGTCTTGAAAAGAGATTTGATAGTGCCTGTTTATAGTAGGCACTTATCAAACATTAGCTATTGTTACTGCTATTATCATGACCACTTTTAGGATATTCTAGAAGGGAAGGCTTCCCCAGATGTACAGAACATTCTTGCCTTTGTCAGAGCTCCTTATGTACATGGAGTAGTCTTGTCTATAGCTCTAGATTGACAGTGATGGATTGCTACTTATTTTCCTTTTCCAGGATATTATTTAGAAGTGTTTGGAGTGCCAGTTTGGTATTCATGAAATCTCTCAGGTGTTCTTTGTCATGGAAGTATCTTATTTCCCCATCAACTCTGAAAGATAGTTTTTTAGGAAACATCAGTATAGGTTGGAGGTTGCTTTCTTTTAGGGCTTGAAATACCTCACCCCAGGCTCTCCTTGACTTGAAGGTTTGTATTGAAAAGTCTGCTGTGATTCTGATGGGCTTTCCTTTGTATGTATTTCTTTTCTCTAACTGCTTGTAGTATTTTGTTCTTCTGGTGGATTTCCAGGATCTTGATTATTATATGTCTAGGTGTAGGTTTGTTTTTTTTTTAATCATGGTGAGTTGGAGTCCTATATGCCTCATTTATCTGTATGTCAAATTCTTCCCCTCTGTTTGGGAAGTTTTCTGTCATTAATTTTGTGAAGAGTTTTTTTTATGTCATTTGTACTTTCTTCTGCTACTTCATGGATTCCTATTGGTCTTATATTATTCTTCTTTGTATCATCTAAGGGTTGTTGGATAGATTTCTCATGATCCCTCACTGTTTTTAAGAGATCTCTCTTTTCATGGTCACTGACCACAATCCTATCTTCTATATCTGAAATTCTATCTTCACATTCGTTCATTCTGCTGTGAATGCTTTCTGTAGAGTTTTCAAGCTCCTGGATATCTGTTTGAATCTGTTTCATGGATTCCATTTCTTTCCTATGCTGGGCATTCATGGTTTCCATCATGGTCCTGAGCTCTATTTTTTTTTAAAAATCTGTTTCTGTTCTAGAGTCTCTAGTCATGTCTTTCATTCTGCTCACCATCTCTGTGGTTATCTGGGAAATTATTGCTGTTTTGAATTTTTCTAGAGCCTTCCTGTGCTATTAGTTCAGGGTGTCCAGATGGTTGACTGTCAGACTTTTCCACTTCATTTCCCCCAGAATTTACCTTCAGTGAGGTGGAAGTCTATGTTTGTGTCTTGTTTAAATGTCTTTTCTTTTCTATTTTTGCTGTTGATACTGTCCTTGGTTTAATTCTTTCTTCCAGATGTAGTTGGTCTTTAGGTTTTGAGTCTCTAATGACTCTGAGGCAATCTCATTTTCATTATACCAGGGAGGACAACTGATTAGATCAGTCACAACACCTTAGCCCATGTGATACAATCAGCAACAACAATAGCATCAAGCACAGCTTAAAAAATGACAATTTATGGTAGTTATTAATCTATCACCTTTAACTATGTGAATTAAATAAAAATAGAGGACCAGCCCAAAATATGTTTGTAGTGAATAAACTCTTCAATGTAGCAACTTTACCTTTCTGGATGAAGATTTAGAAGGAGTTGGGGAAGGAGGTATAGGTAGGATAGGGAAAGGTTAGAAGTGAGGTCAGAGGACATAGGAAGATCACACAAACTCTAGGAAGCTGTTGAAGAGAAGAGAAGACAGAACAAAATCTACACAAGAATAGAACAAACTAACAGCAATAGGGACTGTAATCACATTCTTTTAAAACTAGTGGCAATTGAGAGAAGGAAAAAGAAAGAAAGAAAATAAATTTGAATTAGTATAGGAACAAGAACAGAAAGGGACAGTAATGAAGATCAAGATGGGAGATAGAGGGAGGGGGGAAGATAAAAATGGAAAAAATTAAAGAAAAGAGATAGATAAAATTTTTTAATGATTAAAGAGAAAAGAGAAAAATACTACTTTGAAAGTAAAAAGATACAAATAGAAATAGAGGGCCTCCTTCAGGGTATGCCTCTGTTGACACAATAGACAGATCTAAGTTAATTAGTCTCAGCAAGGCAGCAGCTGTTCCCTGAGGTTCAGGCTGACTTCTGGCTGCCAGGCCCAAGTTGAGGTTTCTGATCTCCTGCTGGGTTGAACTCTGCAAGGTTCCCCTGCAGGTTCCAGCTGTCTTTCCTCTGAAGTGAGACCAGGTTGTGATGTGATGTCTTGTGCTGCTTCCATGCTCCTCTGTTGCTCTGTGCCAAAGAGGCGGGCACAGCAGAGGGTCACAAACTGCTTCCAGTTCCTCTGGTGCACCTCTACTTATTTTCTTTTGAGTCTTTCATTTCTTTCGAGTCCCTCACACTATCAGTAATGCCTGGGATGAAACACATCAGTCTTGCCATTCTTGATCCCCTTGTAACCACACAGCTTCCTCTCTTAGTAGAAAATATGTCTGCAGCAGATCAAGAAAGAAAGCAGAGATGACAGTGTGAGAGGACATCTCTCAGGAAAAAGCTTAACTAATAGGTTACCTGACATGTGTAACCACATTGAGGGGGACTTTTTTGTAAGTAAGTCTGGCTATAAATTAATGATGTACACATAAAAAACTAAGGACATAAAAATAGCACAATAATTAACTCCAGGAATAACAAAAACTTCTTCAGGAAATGAAATTAAGTAAGCAATGCTTGTATAGTCATAAGAATGTAAACACAAGAGATATAAATCTACATGGAATACAGTAAAAAGGGAACATTGAGGCTCAGAGATGTGTAAGAAAGCTTATCTTCCACAGTATGAAAAACATATCTTTCAAAGCCTAAAACTGAAAAAGCAATAAAAATCTGTAAAACTTTTTGAGTTCCTCAAAAAATTATAAATGGAATTACCATATGATCCAGTAATCCCACATCTAGGCATTTATCAAAGAAAACTGAAAACAGAATTTTCAACAGATATTTCCACACTCATGTTCATCACAGCTTTACTCACAAGAGCCAAGAGAAGGAAGCCAAAGTCAATGAATGAATGAATGCATAAAGAAAACATAGTCTGTATATACCGTGAGATATTATGCAGCCTTAAAAAATCCTGTCATGTTATAACATGGATGACACTGCGGATATTGTGATAAGTGAAATAAGCCAGCCACAAAAAGATGAGTATTGAATGATTCCACTTACCTGAGGTATCTAAAGTAGTCAAATGCATACTGAGAGTAGATTTGTGGTTGCCAGGAACTGGGGAGTGGGAGAAAAGGAGAATCATTCAGTGGATATAGTTTCAGTTTTGCAAGAGGAAAAAGTTCTAGAGATCTCCTGCCCAGCAGCATATAGATAACACTACTGAACTATATACTTAGAAATTGCTAAAAGGATAAATTTTATGTGTTTTTTAGACATAATTTAAAAAACATTATCAAACTATAAGACAAAATGTGCAATTCCTTCTATGTAAGTGTTACCTTAAGAAAGGTAGGAAAACACCAGAAGAAACAGATTTTGGAGAAAGGGAAGAGTGAGATTGATGCTGTGGGCATTGAACTCGGGACCCTTGTGCTTGCAAGGCAGACGGCAGAACCACTGAGCTAAATCTCTAGCCCTGATGCTATCTTTAAATGTAAAATTATGTCATTGTATTGCCCAGAAAAAATAAACACTTAAAATTTGATAATCACTCAAGGACACGAGAAAACCTTAAGGTTTCAAGGGAAAAATGTGCCAAGATTACAGTTCAAGAAAGAAATATAAAGAGCTAATAAAAATAAGAAATAAATGATGAAAGAAATTGAGTGACATTATTTTTCTTAAAGAGGTAGCAAATGGTAATCAAAACCAGTACCACTCAGTGATGGCATGGATTGAGTGATGCACATAGCCCCATACATGGTTGGTACAAATTTCCCATGGGACAAATGGGGAGTGTATCTTAGGATTCTGAAAGATATGAATAACTTTTTCCCAAGAGATCCATTTTAGGGATTCACCTTAAATAAACACAAAATTAAAATACTAAAATTTTAAAAGTATGTACAAAAGGATTCATAATTGTACTATTATTAACAATGTTTTATTATGAAAAGTTTCAAATATACACAAAAGTAAAGTACAATGAATGACAAGTATGATTACCATATACCCAGATTCAACTACTACTGATAACATTTTTCTATATCTGAAAGAGAGTTGTCAACATCATGACACATCTTCCCTTATCTTTTATGCCAGTGCTATTCATAATAGCAAGGTTTTAGAAAGAACCAAGTGTACAACAGCAAAGGAGTTTGTTAAGATTAAAGGGTAAGTATGAATACATTAAAATGATATTTGTGTCATATTTTTAGTTACCTTGAAAATGCTTATCATATTTTGTTAAATAATAAATCAAAAGTCAAATTGCATGATCTCAGCTATGAAACACCAGTCATTACCAAGGTTTTGGGATTATAGGTAATTTTTGGCAGAAATAACAGAAATTCCCACTGAAATTTTAAAGACTTCCAGAGAAGTGAATTTTTCATCAACAGATGTTACTGAGTGGTTCTTTCCTACAATATGCAACGCCATCCTCACCCCTACTACTACTAATATGATTTCAGATATAAAACACCCTTCTGCAGAAGCTGAAGCATGATGAGCTCTGGTTTTTTGTTGACTGCTTGCTTCAGAGAGAAGTGTGTGGACTGCGCACCATTTACTTAGAAATGAATAGTGAATGCCTACCTGGGTCAGGCCAAGATTGTGTAACTATTTGTTCAATTTCTGATGGCCCTTGAAATTGTTTGAAATTCCAACTGGATGTCTCTCATATCTGATGTGATTGCTCCCTCTGCTCTTTCCTGTCCAATACCCATTTGGTTTTTGGATCTATCTCTAGTCCTTGTGCTTGCAAGGCAGATGGCAGAACCACTGAGCTAAATCCCCAGCCCCCATTTAGGTTTTAACATATGGTTCACTAATGTTCCTCTAGGAGGTTTTCCTCAAATGACTAGTACTTAAAAGCTGTATTTATTTGCCAAAAAATAAAATAAAATAAATAAATAAAGTGACTCTTCATTTGGACTAATGCCCAATAAGTATCTAAAAGCAGAAGAAAGCTTGACCTTCATTTTATACCTTTCTCCTTTTTTACTTTAAAACTTTGGGTCCTTCTCTGCTCAGCTCTGCATATAGTTATGTTAATCATTTATGGAGTGTCTGTCTAAAAGCTGGCAATACTAAGTTGATTAACCTTAAATTTACATAACTTATCTCATCTCCTTGAAGACTGAAGTCACCAGGATAAGAGATTTATAGGGACAATCAACTACCCATCAGTTCCTAAAAATCTCCTGTCATTGCTCTAAACCTAAAGTCACCTTGGATTCCATCAGAACCACCACAAAACTGAGACTACCCTAAGGAAAATAATCATTTTATGGAGACTGGATTTGAGAGAGGAAACTACCCATCCATATGGAATTGGGCAACTATGGGTTAACTAGATAACCGTGCTCTTTGTGGAATGTACCTGAGTAACCACGACAACTTAGGAAATCTGTTACCAAGGGAACATAAAGGACACAGAAAGTCCCGCCAGAACTCTTTGTTTTTCCCCACACCCACTGCTTTGGTTTGTATAAATTGTGCTTGTTATATTCCCAGGGAAACTCCAATGGAATTAAGCCTCACAGATGTAAAAAGAGGTATATGAAGAAGTGCAAACATCTATTTGAGAGCTCTCAAGACTGACAGGAGGGTGAGCCTGTCCCTTTGGCCCAGAGCAGGGGAGGAGCCCAGCTGTGCAGGCTCCAACACAGCCATTGCCCTGCCAGCACACACAAACAAGAGAAAGAAGGCCTCTCTGAGGCTCCTAGATGAAAACTGAAGCCCACTGGAAAAGTGAAGAAAATCTCTTCAATAAAGGCGTACCAGACCACTGTGGTTGGTAAGTTGGAGGGATCAACACCTCCTATCGAAACCTGGACTATCTTCAGGGGAAGAGCAGCTGGAACCTGCAGTAGAAACTTACAGAGTTCAACCCAACAGGAGATCAGAGACCTCAATTTGGGCCTGGCAGCCAGAAATCAGCCTGAACCTCAGGAGACAGCTGCTGGTGTGCTGAGACTAATTAACTTAGATCTGCACACTCCTGCCCATGCTGTCTATTGTATCAACAGAGGCATACCCTAAAAGAGGCCCTCTTATTTAAAATTTTATTTTCAAATTAATGTTTTTCTCTTATCTTTAATCTATTAAATTTTTTTGTCTTTTTCTTTTTTCAAAATGTTTTCCTTTTTATCTCATTTTTCTTCTTTCTCCTACTTTGTTCTCATTTCTCTCCCTTTTTGTTCCTATTCTTGTCCTAATTCAGATTTCTTTTTTTTCTTTTTTCTTTATTTCTCTTTTTCCTTCTCTCAGTTGTCATTAGTTTTAAAAGAAAGTGATTACAGTTTCATGCTAAAAAACAAGACAAGGATGTCCACTATCACCACTCCTGTTCAATATAGTTTTGGAAACATTAGCCACATCAACTAGACAAGAGAAAGAAATAAAAGCAATAAAGATAGGAAAGGAAGAAGTTAAACTGTCATTATTTGCTGATGATATGATACTCTACATAGAAGACCCAAAAATCTCTGCCAAAAGACTTCTAGACTTCACTAACAGATTCAGTAGAGTAGCTGGATACAAAGTCAACACTCAAAAATCAAAAATCAGTAGTTTTTTTGTATAAAAATAACAGACTCACTAAGAGAGAAATTAGGGAAACAATTCCTTTCAAAATAGCATCCAAAAAAAAAAAAAAAAAGGAAATATCTAGGAATCAGTCTACTGAAGGAGACAAAAGACCTCTACACTGAAAACTACAGAACTCTGAAAAAAGAGATCAAAGAGGTTATAAGAAAATGGAAAGATATCCCTTGTTCCTGGAAAGGAAGAACCAACTTCCAAAACTGCTATACAGATTCAATGCAATCCTGATTTAAATCCCAAAAGTATATTTTACAGAACTTGAGAAAAACAATCCAAAAATTCATTTGGAACCAGAAGAGACCTAGAATAGTAAAAAGCCATTCCAGGCAACAGAGACATAACAGGAGGTATCACAATCCTCGAAACTATACTACAATGCTACTGTGATAAAACCAACATGGTACCAGCAAAGAAACAGACCCGAGGATCAATGGAATAGATTAGAAGATGAAGAAACAACTCCATACATACTCAGCTACCTCATCTTTGACAAAGGAGCCAACCATCCTCACTTGAGGAAAGATAGTCTCTTTAATAAATGGTGTTGGAAAAAGTGGCTTTCAACTTGCCAAAGATTAAAACTAGACCCTTGTCTTTCACCATGTACTAAACTAAAATCCAAGTGGATTAAAGATATAAATATTAAACAAAAACACTAAACTTGTTGAAAACAAATTAGGTAGAACTCTTGAAGACATTAGCACAGGAAAAGACTTTATGTAGAAACTATTTTTTTTTTTTTTGTATGGGAGATTGAACTTGGGTCCTTGTACTTGTGAGGCAAGTGGTGGAACCACTGAGCCAAATCCCTGGTAAAATTTTTGGGTAGAAGCTAGTTTTTTTTTTTAAGAATTTATGCACAAATTCTCAGTAGCACGGGGACTGGCACAAAGAATCAACAACTTGGATCTCATCTTATTAAAAAGCTTATGCAGTGGAAGAGAAACCACCAACAGAGCTGAGAAACAGCCTACAATGTGGGAAAATTTTTTTTACCATCTGCTCCTCAAACAAAGGACTACTATCTAGAATATATAAAGAAGTAAAAAAAAAAAATCAGACCCCCAAACACAAAGACCCAGTTCAAAAATGGGCATCTGAAATGAATAGACACTTCTTAGACAAGGAAGTATAAGCAGCAAATATATGAAAAAGTGTTCAACATCATGGATCTTTTGAGAGATGCAGATGAAAACAACACAGATTCTGCCACACCACAGAAAGAATGGCTGCTATCAAGAAATCAACCAATAACAAGCGCTTGTGGGGTTGTGGAGAGAAAGGAACCCCTCTCCATTGTTGGTGGGAGTGCAGACTGGTGCAGTCACTATGGAAATCATATGGAAATACCTCAAAGAGCTAGGACTAGAGGTTCCATTTGACCCAGCTATTCCCCTGCTGGGTATCTTTCCAAAAGAATTAAAAGAATCATACCACAGTGATATATGCACACCTATGTTTATAGTGGCACAGTTTGTAATAGCTAAAACTTGGAAACAATCCAA